GTGTTAAAAATAAAGCTGGGCGCTTTGGCTGAAGCTATAGAAAAACAGCAGGCATGTCTGACTGTGTAGGCGGAACGTCAGACTGTGGTGTTTACTTGGCTTAAAACCACAACTGTTTCAAATGAAGCACATCTGCTGGAAGATTAGCTGAGTTTATTTTTCAGGATCCAGTAGTGTGAAGGATAACTTTTACTGATCATGTAGGAGTGAAAAGGGGCCGAGTCCTGTCATCTGCAAATTTACTCAAATGTTGCCCTCATCAACAACAGATCAAGTTACACAGACGTGGAGTCAGCGTTATTTTTTTTAACTGTTGCCAGATGATGGGCTCGGGTTGCTTTTATAATATGTCCAACATTCAGCCTTAATCCTGTAATTTTGCTGCTGGACTGATTGTTTATGGCGCGTTATGACAGAAGTTTATTTAATGACACACTGTGTATGTTTTCAACAGCTTTACATTCTGGACTTTAAAAACAAGTATAAATCTCAATGGAGGCAAAGCTGAGCAACGGTAAAAGAGATGCATCAGAGAGAAATATCAAGTATTAGTATTTGAACTCACTAGTCCTTGGTCTCTTTATCCCACTCAACCACAATCTTCACATGCGGTGGTCCCCCTTGTCCACAGGACTTGTATGCCCTGCAGCCAAAAAAAAGTATATTATCAAAAATGAATTACTTCAGGTCGAAGTCATTTATAAATCTGAAATTACCCATTTCTACTTATTCATTAAAAAAGCTTGTAGTGAAGTTTTTTTCTGGACACAATTTTTTGTTTCTTTATTCTCGTTAAATGACCTTTTCATTGATTACCCTGAATGAACAAATGAATGGAGGAATCCAATGCATAACTCAATATTTCCTCCAGCAAGGGTCAGCTCGTCTTTTACTTTCATTCCTACACTTTTACACACCAGCAAGGCTTTCACTTGTGTAATTACTGTGAAATAAAACGAGCTAGCAGAGAAGGCTAAACTGGGATTTTAGCTAACAAAATCCTGTTATGGCATGTCCTCTGCCAATCTAGAGTAAATATGAAGGAACACATGAGGAAATACAAGTCTAAATAGGCAAAGGGATGTTTTCTGACTTCATTATTTTTCCAAAAATCAGGCCTGACATTAATTTTGTGTGCATTTGGACATGTTGCATTCTCCCTGACAGGTTCCCAACATCTTCTGCGAAATTTTGCTCATTACATATTCAAGAACAAATATTTATGGTCATATTTCCCATCTCATAACCATCTCATAACTACCTTTCAACAGTTGGATGACAGAGTGGCCGCTCGTCTTGGGGAAGGAGGTAGGTGATACCAACAACGCCAACCACCCGGAGACTGAAAGGTCCAACCTACGCAAAGGAATATGATAAAAAAATAAACACATGGCACTGGCAACCCTACCATATAGTGAGTTGAACATGTTCACATGTTGATATCAGTCTTTGGATGCTCAAGATGAATCCGCTGGATACCGAAAGGAGGTAAATAACCTTACACAAACAGATGTAATGATCCAATTCATACCTGAATGTAGACCCCAGGTCTCAAAAGATGCCGCATTTTTTCCAGGATCTCTTTTTGTAGAGCATCCCAGGTCACAGTGCGCTCCATGTACAGTACAAAAGGCAGGCCGAACCTGAAAGGAAAACAATTAGCTGCTTCTCTGAACTTTCAGTTTCTACAAAAAACAAACATTTTGTAATCTTATTCATCACTTTTCTTCATCATGACACAGTAAAATACCTTTGTGTTCATAAAAAAAAAAATTAAAGCAGAGGAGAAAATATTGGTAGCTGCCGTACCTCTTCCCCTGGTGGCCAGTACATGCCCTGTTGCACACCAAAAGGATAATTTTTTCCGGTCCCAAGTTTTTATTGGGTGATCCAGTTACAGGAGTCATAGCCCCCTGCATGAAGGATGGAGTCCTGCTGAGTTCCGGCCCATACTTCAAATTGTTATGATTCAGGTTTGCCAAAAGGCTTCCTGTGAAAGAGAAGAAGGGCAGTTCCGTGTCTATTGCTCCAGGTGTGGAAGAAGGAGATTACAGTGATATCTATTAAATTACCTCTTTTTGTGCGTATGTTTTCCAGTTTGAAGGTCTCTGGTGTCTCAAAGGCAAAGATGGAATCGCTCTCTTGAATGATGTCAAGATCGTCATCATCATCACAAAATGAGCGATGAAAGCCATCGTAGTACATTTCTGTCAGAACAAACTTTAAAAAAGAAAGAGAGGGAGTTGGTACAGATGCAATAAATGAGGAAAAGTCATCTACAAAAATCATTCAGTAGTTTAGTTCCTATGGAGCGATAAGGAAAAACATGGAAGAATTCTGCATCACTCTCCAAGCAGAGCTGGTTTTGCACCCTCTGGCCTGACAATGTGTGTCTGTAATATAGTCTCACACTGCCAGACCCGGATAAGAGACAGGAATAGCACCTGGTCCATTGGGATCTTGGTCTCACGTGACACAGCATCTCTGAGGCGATAGACTGTACTTTTCACAGGAACAGCAACTCCTATCCTCATACAGTGAGAGTACTTCCCCTGGTAGACAATTGTCACATACAAGGGCCTGAAAAAGATAAAAACAATGGGATTCAAGTTTTTGTTTATCTAATAAAACCAAAAAATCACGTTTTTGAAGACTTCCTCATTCCCTTTTCCTGAACATAGCTGACACTTCTTTTTGTTTTGATTTCAAACTGAGCAGCACATGCTCCGCCCACATTTTCTAAACACCTTCAACCCCCAACACCCCCATCAAGGAAGGTTACATTCTTACTTTTGCAATACCCACTGACATTTGCTTCACACCCCTGCAAACTTGTCAAAACGCATACATAAACGCAAACGCGCGCAGACTTTAACTTTCAGAGAAAGGTCCTGAAGCAACAGGTGTTTACTTCTGTGTCGTTACCAAGAACAAAAACAACCAAGGCAAGCAGGAATATATGTTCAGGAACGTGTAAGGACGTGTCGGCTGAGCGTGGTGAACTGGTCACTCCCTGCGCCATAAAGCTGGAGAAACTCACCGTGTGTGAGGAAGCGGGATCGGTAAGGAGATACAGAGGAAAGGATCAAAGGTGTTGCTCTGCTTTTGGCAATGCGGGCATGTGAGAGAAGACCTGCAGAGAAAATGTCAAATCTCTGAATATGGTCAATCATATTGTGTCTCTAGATCCTAACGGCATTAAACCTACCTGTACTGCGCCTGAAACAGTTCTTGCACGAATGACCCAGCAGAGAGGGGAAGAGTTGGACCCTCTATGCACTGGTCATCTTCATCAATAGGAGGCTGACAGGACAGAAACAGGTTTTATCAGCCTAATTTGCATGGGATTAATATACCAGTCTTTCAGGTTCAGAAGCACCTGGAAAACAACCAGGCAAACCCAGATTTGCTTTCACCTTTTATACATTTTAAAATGGAAACTTAAAAATAAAGACTTTGAAGATGTTTGATCAGTTATACACACATCAGCCCATGGCCTTATCAATCCGTAAGAGGGCTTTTATTTTACCTTTATCGCAGGTCTGCTGTTGGGGTTCACGGTGTTTAGGTCCTCATGGACTCTGTCCAGTAACCACAGGAGAAACTCTTGAGCGTCATGCTGAGCGTTCCCTTTAAACTGAGTGGCATTTTTTGACACAGCGTTCTGCAACAAATTTGAGTCAAATATTAACGCTTCCATGAGTATCACAGTTGAGCATTTCTTTTCAGCCTTAGTCAAAGTTAATACATCACCCTCTTCAGACTCCCCCTTACCTTGAAGTCCCTGCTGTGCTGGGGGGTGTACTCAAAGGTCCACAAAGCCCGAACCAGTCCCGACAGCTGCTCTGTCACTTCTCCTTTAGCCAAAGGACCCTTCTTCGGCAAATGCACACCATTTGTCTTTGGTTTATCCTCATCCGACTCCTCGCCTTTATACTGCTCCAAAACGAGGTACTCAGCAAAGAGTTCAGTGTTACTGAGGCATTGCAGAATAGCATTCATGAAGCAGGTATTCCCATGGTTTTTCAGGCCCGACACTCCTGGGACTCTCTCCCCAGACAAGAATCCCCCCAGATCCCCATCCTCGATGGGAACATCTTTATTTCCGGACTTAAAAGTTGTAAACCCTCCATCATCTTTCTCATCCTCGGTCTGTACTTCGGATCCAAAGTGTGATAAGGCCGTCAGTGTCCTCAGGACCCTGCTCATAAAACTGCCCACTGAGCGCACAGAGCCTCTCCTGAACAGTTTCTTGCTGAAACTGGACTTCTTGTCCTTGGTCGCCGCTTTGCAAGACATGGTTTCCCTATCATTCAGATGGACTGTGCTGAACCAGTCACCTCACCGGCTGCTCGCTGCTCCATCACATAAAACATGCAGGCAGCTAAATCGACGCTTGCTAAAGTTTTTCGACATGCATCTTTCTGCTTCTCATCCAGCCTTAAATACCAGTAACATGTTAATGCCCCCCCCCCCCCTTCCCAAATGAAATTACGTTTTACTCCTCAAATCACGTTAAGAATATCATGTGCCGCAACTTAGCCCGAAAAAGACCGAACGAGGCCATTTCGCGCTAACCTTGCACGAACATTATTAAAGATTAATTGCACGTACCTAAAACTAGCTTCATTTTAAACCCTGTTTTGTGGTTTACTGCCACGCAGAATCAGCAACGCTGGTGTAAAAACAGCAGCGTTGGCTAATTCAACCAATGCTAGCGCTAGCTCCAACAACAACACGAGAAACAAACGTGTGACAGTCCGTTTCCGTCGAGGTGTTTGAGTCCAACAGCAAGCGGCTCCCGGCCATGGTCTGCAGGCAACAACGCTCAGAGGCGACGGCTTGTTAAATTGGATTATCCTCACATTTCTGGAACGTTTTGAGGCACATTCAGGCTAAACTGGTTTGGTTTACTTGTTGTTGTTCTTCTTCTTCTTGAAGCGAGCAGCAGAAAAACAGATTTTACTAGTGGAATACTGCCACCTACTGGATAAGACTAAAAGCAACAGTTTGACAGTAAAACTTGATTTCCTTCAGATTTTTTACTCTTCTACTGTTAAATTGTGCTTCACAAGTAGCTTTTTTGAAATTCAGATGTATCCAATAAGCACAAGTTACAATTACAGGATTTTCTTTAATTGTAACCGGAACATCTCCGTTTAAAAGTAAAAAGACTAAACAAATAATGATTACACCTAGTCAACACATAGCATAAACAGAAAAAATTAAGTTAATTACTGATGGTAACAATGTATCTATGTGTCCCTCTATTTAGCATGCTGCTTGCAGATTTTGGTTAATAGGCCCAGTGCTGAGACTACTAAACATTCGTCTCAAATTCCACTGGATTCTGCGTGTTCACCACAAATAAGGTAATAATAATTGACCCTTGTTAAATGAAAATTGTAAGGGTTCACGAAATGATGTAAGGGTTCACAAAACATCCCCAAAAAATGATAATTGAAGACAGCTCTTTTAGTTCTTTTCTCTACCTGAAGGAGGCACAATAAGCACAAGAAATAGAAAATAAACTAAGACTAAAGGATGGGTTGCTTCCATACCTGCATACATGTACCTGACTGTTTATTTATAGCTTGAAAAACATCTAAAGCCATTTCCATCATATTGTATTACTATATTAGAAATTTGCATCCTCTATTTTTCCTACTGAGTTATGAGGAGCAAAATTTGTGCATTAATTATGCCTTGAATGCCCACTTTAAACCAGCAGATGTGTTGGACGTGTAAGTGTGAGCTTGTAGTAATGCATCCTGAATTATCTCTAAAATAGTTTTTAAAAGTGTTCCAAAACTTTAGTTTGTCTCATCCATTTATAAGGATATTTTTGTTATGTTTGATGTCCATCAAAGGCTGATAAAATATTTTAAAAATTGTATATTTGTAGCATATTCATATCCACGAATTCATCCTTGAGAGTCACGAATCCCATGACACCTTCACTGAATATGTCCTCTTATGTCACATCTGCAGGATGGCAATATATTTGAGTGTTGGACTCAAAAAGTCCTCTTTGTTTTCACCATGGTCATGACCAAATCCTTTACTTGCTGTTGCCATCAACACTTCAAGCAGTTGGAACCAGCTGGGGAAGTTCTCTAATGATGTGTCCATGGAAACAAGGCAAATGGTCACATGTGTCTTATCACTCACCACAGGAAAAGCTTCCTGCTTGATCCTGTTGGAGATTTTCAAATGATATCAAAGCACATCAGAATGGCAGAGACTCCAATCCTGTTGTTTTTCCTCCTTGGTACATTTAAAAAAGCCTCTGATGTAATCCATTTCCCGATCTAGAGTCTTTGTGAAGTTGTTTTGGTATTATTCAACCCTAATCACATCCTCACATGCAAATAATCATGATAGAAAATTAGATGTCTTTACAAGCAGTTGTGAGAAAAAAGAAATCCCTTTATCAAAAAAACAACTTAGACCTTTAATCAATTGTTCAATTATGGTCCTTCACAGAATTAAGTGTTGATTAGCAATGCTTTTTAAATTAAAACAGTCAAGGTGGGATTCATGTTGAATGCTGAACTACAATTATTGACTTGTACAAAAAATCTCCAAATGTATTCTAAATTTCAAGAGATTATTTGCGGTACCATGTTGATTTGGTTCCTTAAATCAACTGTGTTATCTATTTTATTTAGGGCATTAGAAACAAGTTACAGAAGTGGAAATCATCTCAATTATCAGCATTATCAAGTGGTGGGCGTACACACTGTTTCCATATTGTAGAATGTATCGTCTAGCTGCTTATAAATCAGTGCAATTTCTATTTGTTTTGTCGCAGAAGTCAGAGTTTATCCTCGTCTCCTGATGCCACTACACAACCAATACCTAAGAATGAAGTCTTGTGGACCTTTTCGATGTAAATCATTTCAGGTGAACTTTAATGAGGCTAATAAGAGAGCTTTTGTAAATGCCGATGAATAGCTCAATTTGTGAGCTGCCAGTCCTACACTACGAGACGGCCTGCCTGCACCTTCTGTTATTATGGCCATGTGTGAAATCATTTCTTCACTTACAAAAAGGCACCTCTCTCTAGCAAGCATATAACTGATATTTTTTTGCAGCTATTCAAAGTAGTTTTGCACGTGGGCTTCCATTTATGTGATATAATGAGCAACCAAAAGAGTGAAAAAATGTTTCCCATAACACAGAGACTGAACCTTTAATTTAGGATTGTGTATGCTTCTCATTTATGGGGAAACTAGATAAGGAACAAGAAACACACTTATTCATATGTGTTACCAAAACCAGTCCAAATGGAATCCTCTCTGAAGTATTTTGGTTAAAATGTTCCAAGTTTTTTTTATTGGATTTTAATGACTCAACCAAAGTTTGAGCTTTCATTGTTGTACTGGCAGATCGTGAGTCACAGGCCAAACCTTTTTTTAGATTCTTTCCTTTCAGTGCTCACTCACTGTTATTAAATTATTTAAATTTGGGTAATGTTTTGTTTTTTTAGACAGACAGAAAAACCCTGTTAAGGGTGTAAAGAAAAAGCTGCACGAGCCAATTACTACAAACAGACAGAAATACACACATACACACACCAGTCTGATTGACAGCTGAACTTTCTCCCCTGTGCCACAGAGGGGATTTTTTACTCCGCGACATCCCTCAGCAACAGTCAAATGGTGCCTTCATGTACACTCCGTTAAGTTCAGCTTTATGAATGGATTGGGTTGGAATCAATCAAGGCGCTTATAGGAGAGCAAGTGCTTTCGAAGTAAGGTTTATCTATTTCCAAAAAAAACAACGAACACTAATGTATTCTTATTGGACGTATTATTTATATATTATATTCTAACAATTGAAAATAATTTTGAATCTTAATATTAAAACATCTGTTCGGGGGAAAACAACATTAACGAAAACATTGTCCTCCTTTTCCATAGAAAGCTGTTTTAATGGATATTGATATACTTGTGTACCGAATTTCTGCTCTAAAGTAGCAACATTTGTACGTTACTGGAAAATATTCCAGTCTAAGTCATAAGCAAAACTATTATTTCAAATTAAGGTAGAAATATTTTTTCAAATAAGTGTGTATACAGTCTGAAGTATGGCTTCAACTTATCGAAAGAACGTTACTACTAACTATCAACAAATACGTTGCTCAAAAATATTATTTTTTTAACGTTTTCTGCACCGATCAAGTCATAAGTGACACTATTATTTCCCACCGTCACCATGGCTAGTGAAGCCCCGCGGCACTTCCTATGGCCATATTTGGGTGTGCATCGGGGAGCGTGAGCCCAGTAAAGCATTTCTAGGGGCTAATATGAGCTTTTGTCTGTCGTCTATTTCAAGAAAAAGATCCAAACGCCGTTTTTCTCATAAGTTAGACTGCGGCACGTTCACAGCGAGAAGCGACGTCCTGCTGCAGTGATCAGAGCTCCGATTCCCACCAACTCTGACTCTAACGCAGCAGCAAAAACATTTCACTGTGGAAAACTGTCAAGAGGCGCAGGTAAGATGGATTTTTATCATTTAATAACATAGAAAAATACCTTTCGACTTTTTCAAGAGAAAATCAGCCACCAGCTGCCCTGACTCACTGCTGTGGAGAGGGAGGATGTTAAATGGGCACCTGTTGATTTGATTTCCCCGCAGTTACAAATAATATGAAATTTTCCTTTTTTGTGAATAATAAAAGTTATGCTGAAACACAGATAGTCTGTAATAAAGTGTGTAGAGGCATATTATCAAAAATGACGGTGCTTATATGGGTTTGTTGCAAAGAAATCAGCTCTGCTACTAAATTAAATGTTATAAAGGCTGCACTACATGTCTGTAGTGAGACCAGAAGTGTCCCCTCTGTTCCACATGTAAGACACATTATTTTTCACAGGTTTGCTGGAGATCTGAAGCCCGATCAGTAGGTCAAGTTGTCTCAGTGTGAGACCAGGCAGACAGGGCTGACACACATTTATATTCAACAGCACATTCCATTATAACATGTTGGCTTTATAATACTAGACAGGGGTGTGAGGCACTTGTCAGTTTGCTTTTAACCTTTTTTGCACATCAGATTTAGTAAGTGGTTTGTGGTTATGAACCTTGCCATTGCCCCCCCCCAAAAAAAATCTCAACTCCCCGTATGAAAACGCATATAACAAAGACACACATAACAGGGACAACAAAGCAGAAAGGCGTCACTTAAAATGACATTTGGTTGAGGACATAGTTTAACTCTTACCTGTTTGTAAGCCCCATGTGCTCACATGAGACATTTTTTGGCTAATTCTTTGGTCCTCAGATTCCCTAGATGAATTTTTAAGGGGAAACAGCTTCTTGTTTGCCTCAGACATCTTGAACTCGATGCGATTTTACCAGTTCATCAGTTCCCTTGCAATTCTTCCAGAGCTTCACACTGGGCTTGGATCAATCTGGTGCCCTGGAGAAGCCTGTGGAGGTCCCATTTCCCTTTCACATGGACACGCGCACAGACACACACAATCAACGTGCACTCAGCCACACAGCTGAAGCTGTCTTGTCCCTCTGTGGCAACCGCAGAAATTCAGTATCCTTAATTTGCCTGTTCCATATGTATTGACAATAATTAAACATTTGGCTGATAAAAGGGTAATGAACAGTATTATGGATTTTTATTCACAAACCAAACAGAACTGCAGGCTCATAGAAAAAAAAAAAAAGCTCTGCTCTTTGGAGAACACACACATTAAGACTGACTGTCTTTGCAAAAATCCTCTTAAGCTCCTAAATTTCTGTGTTACTGTCTGTCTGTTGTACTGAGAATCAGTTGCGATCACACCTTCCTTCACTTTTGTATAATCATTACCAGCTCATTTGTGCTTAATCAATCATAACCTCTTCTTTAATTCTAGAATTGTGGCCATTAGTGGAGAACCTGGCTCGTGAAGCACAGCTTCCCAACATGCAACGAGGCATGACTGAAAGGTTATTGTGATGAATTCAAAATCACTTGTTGTATTCATCAGCGCGCGGTTAATTACAGCTTGTGTGAGCAGTTGTATGACTTTAGAGCATCATATTGTAGTGCAGTGTCTTATGGATGGAGACTGATGTTTTTGTGTAAACTGTGGAGGTTGTATTATTGCCTCTCCAGAAAGACTCAATGGCTGCTATTTTTTGACAGGAGTGTTACTGCCGGAGTGTTATCAGGGTGACAAAGGATGTATTATCTGTAGTATAATAAGCAAGAATTTCTGCCATTGTGCAAGTTTTGCATTTTGTGCGAGGCTGTCAGTGATTTGTGCCGCTTGGCTGTGCAGCAGAATCTTTTTACAAAAGCTCACAACCGTCGATTCCTGGGATATTCTCCAGAAATCAATTCTGTAGCCAAAACGCCGATCATGTGTCTGAACACCACAGACTCTCTGAGCTATTGGGAATAGACATGTACTGTCTATTTTTTGTAGCTCACTTATAGATTATGTGTTATCCACAGGTGCATGCAGTATAGATCACTGTCATATCTCCTCTTTTTTGCATCTGTCCCCCTGGAAAGCTTATTAAAGGCTTGACACACTCCTGGCAGTTTGATCCATTTAGCCTTTGTGCCCCTAAGGGTATCCGGCTTAATGACGCTAATGGTCAATGATAAGGCTCTCTGCTCTGTCTTCCAGCTTATCAGCAAACATCAGCAACACTACAGAATAATGCAGCTCATATGACATGGTTGGAATATATTTTCCCTCTGTTTTTTTTGTTTTAAATCTTGAGGAAATGAAGGTTTGCTGTGCAGGAGTGCAGTCCTGTTCTATTCATTCATATAAACTCCTCATAAATGAACACACCCTGATTATGTTAATTTTGCATGATTTAGATCGCAGATCAATTATTAATCCGGGCGAGTTATTAAAAGACATAGGTGCGTGCATGTGTGTCTGTTCAAAGCAGAAATCAATCAGTAGACTTTGCTGCTCTGTTGACTTCCACGATCTTGCAGTCATTGGATTGTTGGTCATTTTGGAAACATTTAGTAGGGAAAAACAGCTTAAAATGGTAAAAATGCGCAACCACACTGACATCCTTTCAGGACTGCACTGACCCGATGATTTCATGACGAATGACACAGTCAAGACTGAGAAAATCATGACAGGGAGTGTGTGTTTTGAATAAACTTTACACACATTGTTTTATCTCTCTGCTGGTTGCATCAGGAGCCAGTTTTAACTGTTTCATCTGCTGTCTGCATCCAGGGCTGATGCCAGCCTTTATAGAATTCCCTTTACCTGTATTTACTAGCCCCTTTCGTTCAACCGTTACCATAGAGACGCTCCATCCCCATCAGCAAGTCAACTTTGGCTGTGGGGCTCATTGGCTCTCGCAGGAGAGACACTGGTAAGCAAGTGTCTCTGGTATGGCTTTGGCACCGATGTAGCGAGGAAAGCATTTACTCAGCTTTGACAGTGTTTCCTTGGCAGCCGGTGCCCCAACGATGGCAGCGCGTCGGTCCGTCGTGTCACTACGAGTTGACAACTGAGACAGTGTGAAATCCAGCTGGGACAAAAACCAGCGCTGTAATTGAAATGAGTTCACCTGGGAGACGGCTGCTCGGCGGTGCCAGTTAGCTGTCACAGTCCAGGGTTCTGCATGCATGCAGTCAAGGTATGCTTTCGTAGGAATTACTCCGACGGATTGGACTCTGTTGGCCGCTGTAATGCCAACGTGACGCAGATCCAGATGTGCTACGTACAGCATATTGCACCTTTAAAATAGATGTCACTTCATAGACCATGCAACGTGCAGTTGTTTTCCCGTTGCGGGAAAACCTACATACCACGCATAGCTTGGGGCTGGCAGCACTCATTCCTGTGGGTGATTTCAATGTTTACCAGCTCAAATGTCCAATGAATATTGCTTATGTCTTAATTCAGGTTGAAGATGATTCTCTGGAGAAATGTTAGACAGTCTGCAAAATAGTGAAAAGACAGAATTTTGCTCTATTGAATAGTTGAATTCAGCTTCTTTTTGTCAAGTCATAATCTATTCAGGCAGATCTGAGACGCTTTGCCTCATTTAACCTGACCCCAGACCCTGCAATTTTATGAAAACATATCCTATTCTACTGATTTCAACTTACACACAGACAATCTTGCCAGACGGTTGTCCTGCCCTCATAAAAAAGAGGCTCCATTCAGAAGTGATGCAGTAGGTAAAATGGTGGGAAATGATGTGGTGAAGTAGAACTGGATTTGTTTTGCAAGGAAGAAAATTCCACCTTAGATGCTAGAGGGGCTAGACAGCAGTTCAGTGACTGGACTTGTAGTTGGTTTGAATGTAGATGTGTGTGACCTCATACAACTTGAGGGTCAGAGGTCAGAGAACCGTTTACAGCAAACAAACATTTGCAATCACCCTCAATGCTGGACTCATTTTTTGAATGGAATAAAAATCTGTTTATTGTTCCAACTGATGAAACATGAGCCTGAAATTAGCTATCATCCTCAGCTCTTTATCGGCCAACCCACAATTCGAACACATGCACATTTCTTATTTTACGTAAAAGTTCACAGTAGTTTTCTTAGAACAGAATTCACTAGGTTCTCCCCGTAAATACATTTCTATCAAGCGTATCATTCAGTGACTACACATGTACTTCAGCAATATTCAAATCTTTGCTGTTTAGTTGCGTAGTTAACATAGCATTTCTTACTTTTCTGAAGTGGAATGTTGCAAATCTGAACAAGAGATTTTCTCAACGCTGCTTCTGCAAATGACCATTCCCTAAAATGTTTTTTTTTATTATCTAAAAACCAAAAAAAGTTGTATCCCTCTTTCAAAGCACCAGCCTTGTTTCAGATTGGGTTGGTAAGTCCCTTTTAAAGGCCTTGAACAAAAAATCACTTATTATCTTAAAATAATTTGAGAACTATCTTGAGAAAAGAGACTAATTATTCAAATCTTCATTCCTACTGCATTGTTAGCAGGCTGTTCGTTGGCTCAGCAGGGGATGGAAATTGTTCCATGAATTTCTGGCGTACTTTAAAATGGAAAGCTGAGTGCATTCCGCTCTCTGTGCAGTTGGCCCGAGGCATTGAATGATTACACTCACACGGGCCAATATGTTTCATTTGCTAGACCCATTTTGTGTAAGCACTGTAATTCAAAACAGGCAACCTTCAATAGGGCCATCCAAAAACAAGAGAGAGAAAAAATTAATCAGCGATGCCTGTAAAAGAGGCCGCACCGACGCAGACTCTCTTCCCACAAGCATGCCAAGCTAATTGTCCTCCATTACCGGCTGGTAATAACGTCGACTATTGTGTATCAGGTGGGGGAAAAGTCGGAGCAAGCCATCGCCTCTGTTGTCATAAAAATGTGCAGACATTGGCTGTCATCTGTTTGAAAAGAGTATTTGACTGCCTGAGTGTGTCTGTCTCCTGAAACAACTTATCCATCAATCATTTCTGTTGCGTCTTTTGTCATTTTGTGTTCTGTCTGGTCGTCTTTTACTGCTGCTCACGGCACACCGGCTATTAGAGATTCACAAAAGAAACGCAGTCATCCAGGTGGAGCAGCGTCACCGCTCTCGTGCCGGCCTCACATTGCAGCATAAAAGGGAGCGAAAAAATAAACATGCTGGGGCAGATATGGCGGGAAGGAGACCTCCTGCTCGCCCTGGTTTATTTGGCACATTTCAAGTGTTTTTCTGCAAGAGTGGCTGACATTTATGTGATTAAACACCTGCAATCAGATCGTTGCAAAGCTTTTACTTGAAATGCAAAGTGAGACATAAACAGCATTTAGAGCAGTTTTGCTGCGGCGGTGATTGGATGTGATGTGTCATTTAAGAAGTAACACATTTATTTTTTGCCTCAGCGCGGACTGTGTGGCTCTAATAAAGAATCAGACAGACAGCCAACCTTATATTGGGATTAAAAGCATTAACTCCTACCGGGTGGCCATCGCATATATACAACGAAGGTCCTATTTGACAGAGAAGTCAAAAGGGGCATTGCAGTTAGGAACCATATTTACTTCACTTTATTACTCGCAATCCAGATGCACCTATGGGGACCTCGCATGGAAATATTGGATGCCACATTTCCGAGCTTGCTTCCCATTTCTTTGCCTCTCCACCTTTATTTTCCCTGATGAGTGGAAAGCTTCATTTGATATCTCTGTATCTCAGCAGCGTTCGTCTCCTTCCTTCATGTGGAGTGCAGTGACAGAGCACAACATTGTTATGAGCTTATATGATTCAGTTATATGTGGAGGACTCCACAGAGGCAAAATGAGAACTCACCTTATGGCAACTGATTCTGAAAATGACCTACTCAGTCTGTAAGAGAATTGCTTAGCAACAGCGTGCCAATTTCTCCGAGGTCGCCAGGTGGGCAGGTTATTTTGAAGAAAAAAAATTTTGTGTTCATATCTGGCAGTCACGATAGCCTAGGAATAACTTTCTCTGAAATGGCTTTGCTGACGTTTCGTCATTTGTGCGGTAGAAATAAGAAAAACTCACTAGTGTTTCTCTTCATTATAGAAAGTGAGATTCACTGACTTACCCACGTGATGGATACCTTGTTCTCTAATTTTACTTAATAATAATTGTTTGAGAGATTTGATTCCTTTTTCACACATGCATAAATCAAAGGAAAATTGACACAAAATGAAAATGTAATCTCCATAAAATGTACTCGACATTTACTTTTTTTTATTTTTTTTTATGAAGGAATGAAACTTCCAGTGTGGCAGCTTCTCTCAAAATGTTCAGTTTAATACTCCGGCTGGTTGCGATGGCTTCAAAGGGAGGAATAAAGGTTGTTTTGTAATTCAGTCTGTTCCAATTTTTGTGTAAACATTGACTGTGGTTGAGTTCTGTTTCTCCCTTACACAATCCCTGTTTATTCCTTTGCTACTACCTTCCTTGCTGACTCAGAGACAAATCAATGGTGGATTAACTTCAGCTCGCTGTCATTACTATCACACATTACTTTTGTGCCCTTATTCTTTGAGTTGCGTTCATCGAAATAAGATGGGCTGTCGAAGTGAAGGGACGTTTTCTCTCTTTTTTTCCAGTGAAGCATCATGACGACCCTGTTGGACCTGAAGAGCAGCGTGCTGCGGCAGGTGCAGAGGAGCCAGTCTCTGAGAAGCAGGAGGGAACCCCCTCCCACCGCCAGCAGCCCTCTCACACACTCCCCAGAGCCCCTACCTCGCAGGTGAGGCGCCGGTGGGAACATTTTTCGCTCCTGAGCGTGGCTGCATTTGCTCTTGATGGCAAAAATTGAAGACAGATATTTTTCCCCAACACACCATAAGTATTTTTTTTCCCATGCTTTTCCCTTTTTGTTTTATTAAGACAATCATTTATCAGAGAAAACTGAAAATTTGTGTCATTATGATGCACTCTGTTGAGATTAATCAGTGATTTTTAGAGAGAGCAACTTAAATTCCTGGTATGGTTAGAATTGTCTTGATTGTTGTTGTTTTGATAACTAATGCGATTGATTATGAGAGGGATTTTGGGGCAGGAAATTAAAAAGCGGTCAGGGAAGCTTAAAAGATAATGACATCCCTCCCTAAATGGCAACACAAGCTCTGAAGTAATAATTCTTGCCCGTTGCTCATTTGCTTTTTCACCGGCCACCCGGCCGAAGCCACAGGTCATAATTTGTTGTCAACACATTGTTTTAAATGCATGACATTTATGGCAGGGTTGTGGCTTGCTGTGAGAAGACCATTCAGAAGCTTGGTTCCCCCTAGGACACATTAGCCACATCATTATATGCACAGGCAGGCTTTTAAATTGAGCACAAATCCTGCTTTCTTGTTTACGAGTTGTACACCACATGGTGATAGAGCATCTTTTCCAAAACCTCCTGCTTGGTGCATGTGTTTTTTAATTGCAAATACAATGTTTACACAACACACGCCCCAAAAGTAGAGGAATCGATACCTTTGCTTTTTCTCAATACTGGAGAATTCAGTTTTTTGCTGATATGATCCATAAGTCCATAATTATCCCATTAGAAGCATGACATGTTTACAAATACACTCAAAGTTGTTCCGAGTGAACGGCTTCATCCTGTGATAAAATGTGTCAATGGGAGTTCTGTCTCCTGCTACGATGCTGGCCTCATTGTTTCAGATGGTGGGGTCACTGATGGGTAATGAATGTGCACATTACGTGAATCTTTTGCGCGGGATTTAGCAATCTGGTCTAAATTGTGAGATTCTGACTTCCAATCTGTTCTCCTTTCAGCAGAAGGGTTGTCACCTTTCAATCTGTCCACTGCACTCACTGATAATCAAGCATTGTGACATGTACAGGACAGTTCAAAGAAAGCCATATGAGGAGTATCGATCAGCCAATCAGCATCTCCTCTGCAGGACTAATGTCTTGTTTTTGATTTGTTGTCATACCACGAGGTGGATTTGGACTGGTTTGCAAATATCACATACATCACAAAATTGTCTCAAAAGCACAATGGCACAAACATCAATGAATGAGTTTTCATTAAACAAAAAAAAAAGTCAAGAAGAATTGAAACATCTGTGAGCAGAACAGAGGCAGGAGAATATGCAGGCAGTAGGATAGGGAAAAAGAAAGAAGAGAAACACATCAGGTGGAATACTCATGTTTTTCTTCTTGTATATCTTGTCACTCATTGCTTACATGAAATCCTAAATTTGTTGGCAGTTAGTCGATGAGGAATCATTTGGATTTAGCTTCCATTCTTTCAGGTGTAATGTTTTTAAATGAAAAAAAATCTACTGTCTTATAAAAGTAGCTGGTGCTTTTAAAGACTAATAGGGTTTTCATGCATACAGATAAAACATGATTGGTCAATACCGCTCAGGTCACAATCTCAAACCTCCAGTGATCAGTGTTGTCTCTTGTCTCATCTGCATATTCATCTAAATAAATCTATTTGCATAAATTGATGTGCTGATGTTGCTTGGCCAGCGTTTTGTTGTTTGGAGTACAGTTTTTTTTTTTTTTTTTCAATCTTTTCCTCCCCACTGTTCTTATTCTGAGGCTGAGGGATGTAGGATGCGGTTTTTCTTGTGTCTTTCTTATTGCAACACATGACGTGTCTCAGGTGAAAGGAGCCATCAGATTTTTTTCCCCTCCTGTTTAAAGCTTCAGCCTAAGCCAAAAGTGATAGTATGAACCTGTGGTTTCTATAGCAACCTAAACAGGCTGCTGTCACGATGTGAACTTATACTTGTAATGACAACTATGTCTATTTTTAACATGGAAAAATACCTTCCTGCTGGATGGAATACTGACAATTGGGGGATCTGGGGCGCATTTAGCTATTGAAATTTAATTCATTTTATACGGCAACATCATTAGCTTTTGATTCTATTTTTCACGGAAATCATATCTGCTCTCATTAAAGACTGATTTGAAGTGACAGTATCTCACCTTTCTCTCACCAGCTCCCTGGTGCTGCTGCTTCCCACTGAGCCTCAGCCTGAGCGCTCATCATTAGGTTCAGACTGTTGATCTTAGTTATCCATTCAGACTGCGGCTGACCTGCCTGCACTCCAACTTTAATTGAGAATTTGCAAATGAGGTCGGGTAGATTTGGGCTGCACAGTCCACAGCTGTTGACCCAGTGGTACACTTGACTGTCAATGCTGAGGCTCTCCAGGCAGACGTTGGCATATTAGGGGCAAACCATTTTATACAGCGGAGGAAATTATGCTTTTAGATTTGCATGAGCTTGATTTTTAATTCTGGAAAAATGAGCTTGATTGATTTGCCATTGTTTGCTGATTAATTCGCAGCACGATGAAAACCAACACAAGGATTTGGATGGCCTTTTACAGGCTGTTTTCCAGTTTCACTATCCAACCTGCGATTTTCTTTATCTTACAGAATGTTTAGCCAATATATAACATATAAATGCATAGATATAAATATAACAACAGGAAGTATTCAGTGAACTTCGTTCTGACTTCTGGTTCTCGGAAATATCTGTGGCTATTGTATACTTGTTTTCATTGTGCAGATGTGTATACGAGCTGCTTATTGCTATTGAATATAATGCATCTATAATATTTCTATCATAGATTTGCTGTATTCAGAATTATTGGAGGGCAAGAGACCTTGTACAAGGCACCAATCCATCAGAGGGCCAACAAAGAGATAAAAACCCATGCAAACATTATTCCGGTCAGTTTAGAATCATCATAAATGGTCTTTGAGGATGAGCTGTTTAGTTCTCTAAAAAAGATTCGACAAAACCATACATATAACACAAAACTGCCTTCAACTATAGAACTTTCACCTTTGTAACATGTAGCAGCTCAAACAAAATATAGGTCAGTAAAATTTGTGTATTTTTAAAATCAAGCATAGAATTGAATATTGTGATCCTTTAGCCATAAAGAAAACGACACAGGATTGCCCTTTAAGTGGGCTCTAAATATGCTAATTAGCTTGTTCGAGCGAGAATGCCTGACGACCCACCAGCTGACAGTAAACTTGGCCCCTTGCTCCAATGCCTCTCCGAGTGATAGTTGCACTTATCTAAGGCTGCCCCTTTCTGCATGAAGGAACTCTGGCAATTAGCTTTTGGTCATCTCTCAGCCTGAGGCTGTTCATTCTCAGTTACTCAGAAAACTAGAAGGTCAGGTTTCGATTTCAAACTTTCTTCGTTGCAGAATAACATGGCTGTTTTGTAGATGTTGCGATATCTTTAGTCCTCCACGTGGTTCACGTGCAACATGTTTTTTTTTTACTGCTTTTCGCTTTGTAACGGTGGACTCTGGTGTGTTGGTTGATAGAATGAGAGAATAACCTCTGTTTATCTTGGGAAGAAGCTGAAACATTACATATTTTAACACGAAAGACTGAACGATTGAAGTAGCAGTGGAGAAAAGGCAGAAAATATACTTAATGGAGGAATTTGATCATGGCTCTGGTGATTGTTCTGATCTCCACGCTGCAGCATTTCCATCTGTAATATTCTGTTGTTTAATCCAACATCTAATTAGAGTAAAACAAACAGTCCTTTGTGTTACTGAGAGAGATCCTTGTCATGGAGATGCGAGAGTTTGAGATGCGACCGGCCGCCTTGTATTATGCAGTGACAACCATGATGAATCAGATTTTTAGAAATAATTTTATCGTATAACAATGCAAGCGGATGTCACATTCTTTTTCATGCTGTAGAAGACAACGGTGTCTGCAGTATTAATCATTGTCTATGCACTGCCATATTATGTTGAAGTTTTGAAGAGAAGGGCTGCTGTCACCTTCACACACCCAATTAGTCATGTTTAAACACATTCTGTCTGAGGGAAAACGTGCAGAGGGCTCCTGTTTTTTTGTTTATGAGCTCCCTCTGATTTACTCTCTACACAGGAAATCATGGCTGAAGCATTTGGATGAATTCTGAAAATAAATTAGAATAAAATGAGTTTTAAAAAAAATCTGTTACCTAGCAACATCAAATCGCTTTGTTATTCTGGTAGCTTGTGTGTGTTTGCATATGTGTCTGTGTCTGTGTGTGAAAGAGTGAGAGAGGTTGGAGTGGTGTTTTTTGTGTTTTTTATATATATGTAAATAGCGGCCAAAAAACGGACTATGTGTGATTTAGCATCAGCTGCATGTTATTTTTGCAGATAAACAGGTGTGAAAAACAAAAAGATCCCAGACTCTCTGGACAAATCCTCAAGCCACAGAAAAGGAGACAGAATGATGGATATGAGAATGCCCTGGACATTTGAAGACAAACATGAAGAGAACCGAGCGGTTTTAAATACAACTACTTATCATAAAATTAAGCTTTTGTGCGAATTAAAGTGAAGAGTTCCACACACAAAGCCACGCACCATTTCCCAAGTCAGTGATTGATTGTAGATTCAGTTTGAGCTTTTTATCTTTCAAACTCCGACAGAGGAGTTTCCTATCATTAAAAAGATTTGGGGTTTTTATTTGTAATTTTCAAAACAAAAGGAAAGTCCCAGCTACCAGGGGAAGTAAAGAAAGAATTTTGAAAACTGAAAGGGTCCTCAAGTAAGGAGGTACATGATTCCCAACTATATGTCTGATATCGACCACTGATTTAACTTGTCTTTATCAACACACCAAAAGTAAGAGGTTCTAATTCTTGTTTATCATGAGCTGACAAAACAACAACCAGAATCCCTCTGTGGTAAATGCAATGACTTGGAGACATCTTATGCAACAAGTGATTGTTTGCTGAAAAAATTACTTGTTTTTCCTAACTCAATCCGTTCATCCATCCATCTCTATATATGTTTTGTCCATTGGGGGGGAGGTTACACCCTGGACGAGCCGACAGTCGATGGCAGCATCTGCATGGTGACAAACAGCCACATATATGCATTCACTGTGAGACCACTGAGCTAAACGCCACACCACTGTGCACCCCTCCCACTTTGTTTTATTTAGAAGAATGTAATGGGAATTACAGTGAGTCTCTCATAGCTTTTCTGGTTTTATCCAATTATACCAAATGCATCCATCTTTCAAGTTAGACCGGGTTTGACACCGGCACAAACCTCACCAATTCCCCCAGCATGGCTGCCATTAGTCTTCATCAAAACGTTGTGGGTTTGCCTTCCACCCCCCATCTTGGTGAGAGTCAGTGGGTGCTGGGATGGGCTGCCACACGCCTGCTGTGATTTGATGATGCTAATAAAGGAGCGATTGGGGCCTCTGTGGAGAGCTCTTCTGTATAATACGATGATGTTGTCTGATAAATGAGGAAGTAGACGGGAGCTGGGAGGGTGGGGATGGAGAGGATGAGGAGTTTCAAAACCGACAGCTCGACTGATCCCGGTGGTTCTGCTACAGCTCCCATCAGGACGGCCTCCTGCGGCCGTGATTTCCATACGGGCCGGGAGGAAAGCTCCCCAAGAGATTTGGGAGGAGTAGAAGGTTGGAGCAAGGATGGTTTTTGGTGGGGATTCCCAAGAGCCGTCCAGCCACTCTTTTCGCTGAATGTGCCCATATCACCATGACAACTGAGGCCGGCGGGAGTCCAGGGATTCACTCGCACCTGGAGGAAGGAGAATACACCATTTGCATTTCGTGCTTAGCCCTCCTCATCAAACTAGAAAAAACCTGATTCATGCAGAGTGCATGCATGTTCAGGTCTGTTTTAATGGTTGACACAAGAAGGTGTTTGATATCTGTCAGCGGGGGCTTCCGGGAGTGCATCAAAAACCAATCACAGATTGACAGATGCAAAGTCTCTGTTTAGCAAGTAACCGTGCGAGCACATCGATGTTCCCCAACCCCACTAATGCGATGACATGCCTGCATACCACAGAGCAATACGCATCCCTCCTGTCCTTATTTTCCATCGAAAGTTTCTGAGACTAATACTGTTTTTTGTTCCCTCTGGTTGGCAGGGTTTCAGAGGAGTGTGTGGAGTTCTTTGAACGTATGAACGCCATCCTGCAGAAACAGGAGAACATGATGCGGGCAGCCCAGGCTGAGGTAACCCCCACCTAACTTCCACCTTTCCATCTGTTACACAGTTGCAGTGTGTACAGTTTGAGTGATGAGCGGGCCTCGGAGCTGTCTTCTCACCCACCATCGCGGGCACCATGACGTCTGTAGACAGACGGACTGGGTTAAACAGGGTGCTCGGAAGACTGGGAGCTCAGCTGTGACAAGCTGCTGTCCACGGACATGCTCAGTCTCCACTGCCAGAAGTAGCCACGTTTTCTGAGAAAGAATCTTACCACCCAGCCTGCTACTTGTCAGCATAGTATAAAATCACCAAAAAATTGGTGGTCTTGATACGGACGGATGTTCATCTACCATCACTTCGAATAAAACAATCATCTAAGAACTTCTGCCAGTCAATATGGCAAGCTGCTAATTTTGCTGGTTCTTAATGGTCTTTGTGAATTTATCCCGACACACCTAGAATTTTAATAAGTGGTTTCTTTTTATGTTACTGTAAGATAGGCTTGCTGGAACAGGAAATTTGAAACTTGTATCTCTTCTGGGTGATTTTATCACAGTCGAAAGATTTATATCAGGGATAGAGTTGCTGTGTTTGACAGCTGTGTCCAGAGGAGGCCACCTTCCGGAGAATTCACAATGAGCCGGTGTTTACTGCTTTATCCTCTTTTCTGCTTGCCTGCGTGTTGCTTGCTGAGCAACCTTTGTAAGATTTTTTTTTTAATCATTTCCCTTGACTGAAGTGACACAGAGCATTACCTAACTGTGAGCACAGCTGTCCTCACTTCTACTCGGCACGGCCAAAAAACCTTTCGCCTAATCTGGTTCTGTTTCCTCACAGTGCCAAAGAGGGCCCTGCACAGTACCACCGCCACAAGAGCATGTGGACCAGGCCTTTATTTCTGAAAGAATCAGCAGGACAGAGGTGTGTAGGCTTTATTTCATTCTTTTCTTTTCTTCAACCTGATTCAACAGGGGTTACGTTTTGAATCGCACTGTAACAGTTGTGCTCCTTTCTCCCTGCTTTTGATGAGCAGGAGAGCAGAGAGCACCAAGGCAAAAGAACACTGTTTGTATTTTTGCGAGGGAATGATAAAGTAAGGTGTGTTTTTCATGCAGCTGGACCTGCTATATGAGGAAACGGTGTACACGGTCGTCAACAGGGTGGGTGTGCCTGCGCCAGAACACGTGAAAAGTGATGACGAGCTGTTTGCTTACCTTTTGAAGGTACCTTTTCTGTCTTTCCGTCTTCGTGTCCGTCCGTGTGTCTGTCCCATAATGATTCTGAACACGATAGAAGAACAGACTGTATTTCTGTGTTCCGGAGCCCCATTAAATCTCTGCCAGTAACACTGATGGTAGCCTCAGAGAGAGTGTTATTTGTTGTGAGGAGGCCGAAGGAATCCGAGCAGATGCTCTTGGCTCAAAACTGATTAAACATCAAAGCCCAGTCACACTGTGTACTGATATTCAGCTGTGACGTTTTCATGCAAAAGATTGTAGCCTCTCTGTGTCTGGAGTGGGCGTCTTATTATTATTATTATTATTGCAGTTTCCAACAGGTTACATGATAGCAAGGACAGAGACTGAATGAAAGGTTGCATAAAGACATTCCAGGAACGTTTCGGTGGGCTTTTGTTATCTATGAGATGAATTTATTCATATGTTTTGCTATTTGTGTTGATTATCACTGTGTGTTTAAATATAATGTGACAAAAAAATACTTTCTAATGACTCAACTTTCAAGGTGTTTGATATGGGTGAGGAGGAACATGACATTATTCTCCAAAAAGTTCAAGAATCTAAGGTGAGGCTTATTTTTTTTATGTTCTTGTCACATGACCACATTTAGCATTCAGACTTTTGGTCACACCGACATTCAAAATGTGAAAGGTGGTCACAAAATGTGCACTTTATAAGTATGTTATTTGCAAGTTTGCAGGCTTCTGTGTTAAATACCTCCCCTTTTGAATCTGACAAATGCAAACAGTCAGGTTGCAATGATTAAACCTTGTTTCAGAGTTCAGAACTGCAGAATCCTGAACAACCTCATCTGTATTTTCCAAAGTAACATTTCCATAAATGTCATGACATTCTCTTTTGCACTGTTTTACCACTGTTTACCTTAAACCGCAGTACAGTATGAACTTGTCTTTTTTAAGATATTTAAGATACGCTGTTTTTTGTTTGACTTCCAGGAGTTTTCCAATAATAGCTGTAAAGAACTGAACTCCTTTGAAATGGTGGTGCATTGAGTTTTTCTGCCCTGTGACTTTACACAAGATATTGATCCATTACGTTCTTACTCAGTTCATGCTGATTTTAAAGGAGCTGCATGAAAATGAAAGGTGTTGGTTAGAGTTGAGTACTTAACCATTTTTGCTCCACTCTTACTGAACAGACCTTTCTTCTTCCACAGCGAGCTAATTTTTCCTTGAGAGTTTCTGTCATGAAAGCGAAAAGCCTGATGGCAAAGGATGCGAACGGTGAGACCCCTCTAGCAAGAGAAAATCCTTATATAATAGACAGTGATATGTTCCATGTAATGGGTTTTATTTAGCTGCAAATTCAGGCAGAAAAGATTAAGTTATCTGATTAGCCTCACCAGCCAGTTTGATCATAGATTGCATGGAGTTTAGAATCTCGAGATACCCGACTGATGAGCTGATAAATTCTTAAGCAGCAGTCAGGAAATGTGAGATATGCGCTTGTCTGTATCATTCCTGCTACAACCCCCCCCCCAGCAGACATACCTAATGTGTGTCCTCATTTCTTTGTGTCAGGGTACAGTGACCCCTACTGCATGCTGGGAATCCTGGTGGGCCAGAGCCCTCGGGAAACGGAGGAAAAAAAGGAGAGAAAGTTCAGCTTCAGGAAGAGGAGGGAGAAGCTGGAGAAACGCTCCAGTACCAAGGAAGTGTTACCTGCCCGCTGTATCCAGGTGACGGAGGTCAAGCCAGAGACTCTCAACCCAGTGTGGGATGAGCACTTTGTGTTGTGAGTACAAGCAACGCCTCGACCTTTTTGAAAGTGCTGTACATGCCGACATGGAACACAGGCAGAATTCACGGTTTCTTTTTGTTTCACACCTAAAGCTGTTAGTTATGTGACCAGTGCGCTGCATTGTCATTCCTGTAAAAGCAGCACTTAGTAATCGACTGTTCGTCTGTCCATGAAATCGTTCATCAAATGAATCATTTGACCATTTGGTTTTCTTTTTTGCAGTGAAATAGATGATGTCCACAATGACCTTCTACATCTGGACATATGGTAATCAGAGTATAGAAATATAGTTTTTTTTACATCAGATTATTCCATTTTTCTTTCTTGAAATTTTGTGCACGGGGAATAATTTTTGACAAAAGATTTGAGGAAATCATAGAACTGTAGAATAAATCCAAGTTTTGTCATTTAAGCTTATGACATGTAACCCGCGTAGACACTTTAGAAATTGAGAATCAAATTTATGCAAATTGAAATTACCATCTTTTCCTCAGGGATCATGATGATGACGTATCAGTTGCAGAGGCCTGTAAAAAGCTCAATGAAGTCAGTGGACTACGAGGAATGGGCAGGTAAAAGGGAAAAAAAAGATCTCTCTGGAGAGTTTTAAAGTACCTAACCTGCAAGTAATGCTTGCTATTATGTATGATGAGCATACATGCAAGGGGTTTTACATTGGTTATAATTTGTTAAGTAATTACTCCACCCTGACAGCTTTGTGATGGGAAATGATGGCAGTCATTACACCCATTAATTAAAGGGTCATTTTCATCAGAATAAAGCCCAAAGTGGCAGTAATCAATAATGGAGCCTTTGTGTGCATTATAAGATAAAGATAACAGCAGTCTGCTGGTTGATTCTGGAGGTTCATTTGATGTTTGTCCTTTTGAAGAACACTTACAGGAAAAATCTTCTGCTCATAAAACTGTCCACAGAGATCAGAGACTGATTAAAACAGCAGACCCATCTAATGAAGACCTGGGAATCTCAATCATCAAAAAAAGCCCTTGGTGTTTGCAGGGAAACACATCATTTTCATTTCAACAAAACTCTAATGAATTGCCAGCTTTTATTAGACCAACCTCATTTAGCGCTTGTGCAAATTACAAATCACTGAGGATTAGACCTCCAGCCGAACACCTCAAAAGTAAAAGCTTGTGACTTAAATTGCTTATTCCAGTATGATTGAAAGGAACCTTTAATGTCACCTAATTTTTTTTCTCAGGTATTTTAAGCAAATAGCAAAGTCAGTGCGTTCCAACGGATCTGCGTCATCTGGCTCTGAGGAGAATGCTGATGACTTCCTCGGATGCATCAACATCCCTATGAATGTGAGTGTTCACAGTGGAAACGTGTCTTTAGTCAGCAGCGCTAAAGTTACTGTGAGAAGTCACACACACCAAAACTATCCAGAAATGGTGATAGTGAAAATATGAAACGAGAAAATGCTGGACTTTTCCAAAGATGCGACAGAGTCATTAATCAGACTGTTTTGTTTTTGCAGGAGATGCCTGTTGTTGGCTATGACACCTGGTTTAAACTCGAGCCTCGATCAAGTGCGTCAAAAGTTCAGGGAGAATGCCACCTGATACTGAAGCTCTTCACCAGCCAGGTATTTAATGGAGATATTTAATAGAGAGAAGAATTAAATATACCTCTGTATCTTTGTTACTTAAAACGTCCAACATTTGCTTTTCCTCAGAGAGACACAACTTTATCCAAGAGGGAGACAAATGTCTCCATTCACAAGAAATTGCTGTGTCAAATTGTGGAATATGAGCACGCTCACATTAAGGTAAGTTTTCATGCACATTATTTATTAGAAGAATGATAATGCAGATCCTTTTTCAGCCGTAAACAGGTCCTATGATGCGTAAAATCATTCTTTCCAGTTACTCATTTATCGGTATTGCCACTATTTTTTGTGTGTGTGTTTGGATTTAATTCAGTGAGTAAAAACACACAGTCTTCATGCTCACACTGTTTAGTAATTGAAAAATGAGCAATTCAGTTATATTTTCATCCAGAATACAAATTTTTCACTGTGTTCACATGGTGTACCCTTCCTCAGCTTTATATCACATATATGATGAAAATGAAGAAAAAAGGCTTTCACTGCACATTTTCCTCCAGATTGTTCAAAATTGGGTCTGTTGTTTATATACCTGTTTGTGAGCGTGTGTATCTTGGCTACATGTCTGTTTAAGAGAGTTCAGTCCTGTGAACAGTGTTTTTTTGTATTTATATATCATAGTTTGGATGTTTTCTTTAACACCAAGATTTCTAACTGAAATCATATGTTGAAGAGTAGAAAAATCCTTTTGGATTATTTAGACGCTTGCGAAAAACATCCTACGAACGATCATGAAAGAAATGTTGCTTGCCTGGGTGGTTGGGAAAAACCCAGCAGTTAATTGTTTTTCTGCTAAATTAGGATTTCGTTTGGTCTACAGAAAAACACATTTCCTTTCCGTATGAGAGCTGGAGTTGTATTTGCACAACAAAGACGGAAAAACACAGCATTCACTGGTAAATTAGAGCTCCTGTTGTACTAGACAGGATATTAGCTGTAATAGGTCAAGCGGACGGGCTGGTTTGAAGTGCGACATCTCTCTGATTTCAGTCTGGACGTCTAACTGCAGTGGAGCTTTTCACATGTTGCCTTTATTTTGACCTGTATTTGTTCTTTTTCTGCTAACATTTATGTTATTCTTTGATTATGTATCATTTTGAAAGCAAACAATAAACTGTGTTTATTGGATAGAACTGATTCCTCTCTCCCTGGTTAAAGCGGGGCTGCAATTACATGCCAGTTTTTCATGTGAAATGATAGAGAGAACCCTACAACTGGAACGGGCAGGTTTCTCCTCCAGCGTGGACTGTGCTCACGCACCATGCTGTGCAAACTGATCTCTCTCCTCTCCAGCAGGCTATTATGTAAGCATTAATGACAGAATAAAATTGATCGGATCAAATATGAAGGCTGTAGCATCAGGTAAAAGGTGCGCATTGTCTTTGCTTTGCAGTCGCTGGCAGTGCTACAGCAACCACCATCGGAACCAGAGGGTGTGCTACTCCCTGTTGCTGCGCCTCCTGAGGACCATCGATGCAGAGTGGGATCCTCCCGCTGTGCGTGGAGACCTGGCAAGTCCTACATTATTGACCTCCTTATAATAATAAAAAAAAAAAAAAACTTTCATCGTCAAGAAACGGTCACCTCATTAGCCCAGCTCCTCATTGACATTCATCAAGGTTTTTGGTCCAGCCAAAAATGTCTCACAGCCAGCGTAACGGAAGCTATAACTGAGGGCCCTTCCTGTGTCCAGGAGAGGCAGCTGTCAGACAGCTTCAGGCTGTACATTGAGCACTGCCTGTGCCTGATGAAGAACATGCGTCAGGTTTTCCCCTGCGCCAGCGCTGCTGCCATTACACGCTACGAGCTCATGCTGAGGTAAAGTCACACCCCCATTCGCATCACGCCCTTTTGCTCCCATACCAGATCCACGCTCAACCTCTCACCCCAGCCACACAGAGAGGGACTACGGCTCGTCAGTCACATCTGTGGAGGTGGCCGTGTTGGGTTATTGCAACAGTATATTACAGCAGTAATATCTTAATCATTTCTCATTGTCATTGACATGTCCTCATGTCAAAGGAAATCACTTCACATTATCTGACATTAATCCTGGAAAGTATCTGGACTTTGTGTTCTATATGGACATATGACTCTTTACTTATATTTGTTGCCTCTATATACAGTTTAATGAATTATTTCACATACTGTTGCTAGAGTGACATCGAGCTCTGAAATGGAAATCAAAGTAAATAGATTTGCGGTATTGTTTGAAAAAGCCTTTTATCAGTATTTGTGATTGTTAAAGCCTGAAACATTTTTCCTCCCCTGCCAAAAACTGTGCAAGTCAAGGCTGACGCACTGAGGTGACCCCGGATGGACAAAGCCGAAAAGCGAAAAACAAGCCTTAGCTGATATCATCACGATGATTAATAAAGTTTCAATTAAATAGTGAAGTGTCTGAGAACCTGAGAGGCCAACATTGGATACACAAATCCGAGAGGAAACTTTGTAGCTCCCTTCAGAAATGACTAACCTTTGCTGTAACCTTTAAAAGAAGAAAATTATATCTGCAGTTCGGTGAGCCTGTTTCCCATAGGAGTAAGTTGGTAAAATCAGCTAATTATCTAAGTGCACATTTCTGAGTTGGACTATTTTTTATGTTTTTATAAGGGATTGTGGGAACAAAGTCAAGTCCTGTCCAATAATCAGATCCCTAAAGGAGACAAAGGGACACACACTGCCTCTCTCCTCTTCTGCACCGATACTCCTGCAGTGAATTAGACACAACTACCTTTGCTGTGTCACGTGATTTAATCCTGTGAACAATTTGAAAAGGTGTGATGCGACGAACAGAGATTTTGTCTTGTAACTACATTTTCCTTTCTGTACATGCCAGGGGGATTGGCTACATGCAAAATATGAGGGCGTTTAAGACTGTTTGCCCTCTTCGAAATGAGCTGCATTTGGACATCACTACTGCCATCAAGGTAACAACAGAAGTCCAAGTATTGAACTTTTTTCTTTTTTAAGTTCCCAGACAGATCATTAGATGTCCTTTACATGTGGGTGGATTGCTTCCCTTCATCCACTTTGAATTTCATTAAAACAGCATGCTCAAAAGAACATCTAAGTGAACAAAAAGATGCACAACATGACATATTTCTGGCAAATTCCTCATTCAGTGAAGGCTTTGCAGGAACTACGCCGTGTGAACATCTTTGTGAGAGCAGTGTTGAAGCTATGTGATGAATGTGTATCTATCTCTTTGTTAGCAAGACTGCACGAAAAAATTCGAGCCAATTTTCATGAAACGTAATGAAGAGGGAGAGTATGGGCAGAGGCAGAGCTCGTTTAATTTGGTCCTCATTATTATGAGGCTAATCATTCTTATGGCATTTGGCAGTGGCTTTGGTGGAAGATGCTTTTTTTTAAGGTCCTTTTTTAGTTGTTAACATCATTTTCGAGGTGAAGACCCAATTACTCTTATTTTTCTGTTTAATTATGTTAACAGAAAGGAACAGCGGAGTGGTACGAAAGCTTGATTTCTCAGTATAAACCTGAGGAGGGGGTAAGTTTCTGATGGATATTTTCACCGTGGTAATTAGTTCATGCACCCATTAAAACACACCAGGACAAAAAGCTTCTTATATTATGAATGGCTATATTTAGTTTATTGAATGGTGTGTATTGTCTGCAATGCAGAATCTCGAGGAGCAGCTGAAGAAGATGGTTCAGGTGATCGATGCTGTGTGTGCAGATGTGCAAAGAGCCCAGAACATCTACAACAAGCTCTTCTACAGGTAAGTCTAAAGATATTACAGTTAAATGTCTCACAAAAGTCACCAGAAAGTCTTTCCGCAATACGTGGGCTTCATTTTCATTTGACCTTTTGTCTGTTCCCAGTGCGGTGAAAGTAGATTTCTTCAGCATATCGTACAGGCAGCTGGAAAAGCTGGTATGTCTTTGAACACGTTGTTAAAATGTCTCGTGAAGGCTATGAGTAATGCTGTAGCTTAAATTTCTCCTGCAGGTAGCTGATGATGTAAATGTGGCGATGGAGCGGGTGTGCGGGACTCTGGAGCAGGAGAGCTCCAGACTGACTCAGACCATGGGAGAGACCATCTTTGAGCTCTTCATGTCACTGAAAATTCTCAAGGGCTTTCGGGAGTTTCTCCCTCTCAAGTTTGTTTCCCTTTACTCACTATTTCTTAAACCGCCCTAAAGGCGTCTGTTTGTTTTGTGATTTTGTTCAGTTTAATCAGGATGACTCTTGTTTCCCACCAACAGGGATGCCAAAATGTTGGCCTTGACGGGTTTCCACAACTGGTTCAAGTCATCGATTCATAAGTGGTTACAGATTGTTCACGACAGGTCCTGTGACCGGATCCGAAAGGCAGTGGATACCGATAAGGTCAGAAGCCTCTGCCTCTCATAAATTATGTAATGAAAAGGAAGCAGCTGGGTCTGTTATGAAATTCAGTTCAGCTGGAATAGCCTCAGGTTATTGGTTCATGGAGGAATTGTTTCCTGGAGGGAAAATGTTGGACCAAACCCTTTTAGTTGTTTGACCATCGTATAGTATGTAATAGTAACACTTTATAATGCACTCGAAAGCAGATTAGGAGGCACGTTGGCACATATTAGTTGTTCTCAGCATCCTGTTCAACATGAATGCAAAAACAAATTGTAATTTTCCAAAACACCTAAGAATGAAATTGTCTTTTATCATTTCATTAAGTGCATTTAGATCTAACTTCATTTGTTTATCATCTACAAAAAATCAAACATTCATTTTAAGCCAATTTGAAATATTTGCTTAATAAGTTATTGAGAAATGCATAAATGAAATGCTCTTATCTCTGTCGTTGCCAACAGCTGCATTAATAATGTGTTTATGTGAGGTATGCTTTTGTGACATTTTTACCTACCGGCTCCTGAACAGCGGTTTGACGTAAATTATTATGTTTTTACCAAGAAAGCATGTGTTTCTTGTGCAGCTTGAGCCTGTGCAGCAAGCCAAGCACAGCTCTTCAGCGGTGGAGGTGACAGCTTGCTTCAGCCAGGTACGCGAGATCTGGCTCCAGCTGGCTTGGCCAGACTCTGCGGGGGCCTTCATCTTTGTCACCCGTTTGACAGACGTGAGTGCCACTTCTAGCGCTGTCACACAAGCACACTCATATCCTGCAGTCATACAAACAAGACTCTGAGAAGGCAAACACGTATAAAAATAAGAATGAAAAGTGAAGGGGAGACTTTGCCGAGAAAAATCAAAGAAGGAAGCTGCACTTCTGTTTAGAAACAAGACTGATTTATCTCTGCCTCAGAATTTCTGCAGTGAAGCCGTTTGCTACTCGGAGATGATAACGCGCAAGATTGAGAGGAACCAGCTGGGCCGAGACCACAAGAGCTTCACGGTGCAGGTAACGCCTGTAGCAACAGAGCTGGAGGAGGGCTAACGATGACTCAAAGAATGTCAGAGAATATTCTCCCTTGGCAACATAAAAGGGCTTAGTCTGGAAGCAGAAATGTGTCTACACAAATACAAAGCCGTCTCTTCTCATCGCCACCAGTCATTTGACACCTTCCACTTTTCTGTAGCTCTGCTTCTTTTCCTCCTTTTATCTCCTCCTCCACCCTCTGTTTCTCCCCCTTGTGCTCCTCGTGCTTCCTGCTAGCTCTGCATTGCCTTGAACAACACAGAGCATGTTCGTGTTTTCCTGACCCACCTGCCCCGGGACCTGGACTGGGGAGGTGTGGAGCGGGCCATGGAGGAGTCCTGTGGAATGGAGGGAAAAGAGCAGGTTTACAAAGCCCTGAACGGGCAGCTGTTGAACATGGACCAGGACCTGCAGAGAGAAGCCAAACGCCTCATTTCGCTGCTTACTGATAAGGTGAAACGTTGAGCCGCAGACCCCACATAGCAGTAAAAGTAATTAGATAAGTAAATACTAGTTCACAAAATAATTTATTCAATTTGAACCGTCCATCCTTTCCATTCTTTATTAGTTTTTATTAGAAAGTATCTCTTTAGTCTTCTCAAATATATTTATACATTTTATGTTAAACTCATTTTGACAACCTTAAAAATACCAGTCATATTGGTCTTGATGTTTTTAATGAGAAACAGTACAATCTTCTATTCATCCCAGTCTGTCACTTACCTAATCATTTTTCTGTAAATATTCCTGTCTGTGAATCTGTGCAGATGTTGCCTGAGCTGCGCCGGTACATCCAGCACATCAGCCTGTCACCAGATTCTATCAACAATGACGATGTATGTAACAATGGCAGCTTGCCGTTTTCATTCTTGTGCCAGTTGAGCGAATGTCATACGGGCTCTGTGATTTTCCTCCAGGCTATTTCGCCCCTCATGAAGTACCTTCAAGACACTAAGATCATCCTGAGTGAAAACCTTGTTAAAGAAAACCTGACCAGGTAAACCATCTTGCCTCACCGAACACATCACTACATTTACTGTCCATTGGCAGAGACGATTTTGATCACGCTGCTCTGATTGAATGACTATGGCCCATTCTGAATATATTATTCAATTAAGTCATTCATCCAAGACATCAACATGGTGTCTGGGCAAGTCACTATACGTCATGAGTATGTGACATAACAAATTAAAACTATACAGCAAATAGAGCTTATATATATATATATATGTGTATATAGATAAAGTCCAAATATTTAATTTACGAGGAACGCTGTTGTTTATTTCAGCTTTATATGAAGGATGTCTGGCCACTTTTTAGCTCTGCATTAAGGGTAAAAGTCAAGAAACTGGATCAGCCAGCCCGTAATTTAATAATCCTGAGCAATTTAACTACTTCTAAGGACGAAAAAGCATTTCACTGTCCGAATCAGTTTGATCTCCTCAGGCTGAACATGATTTTAATTAACAGTTCTGTCCTTAAAGAAAAGCTGTGCCACAGCACCATTTCTTTCACAAAGTGCTGCTATCTAATTCAACAGGAGTCAATTATTTTTCTGACTAGTACACAATAAAATGTTGGAGATTCAACATAATGGGATATAATTCATTTGGACTTTTGTAAGTAAAGAAATGTTCAATTTGTTTTTAATTTCTTTTAGGACAGGAGCACAGCTTGTTTAGAAATGGGGTTACACAGAAATCCCAATAACAGTACCTTTTAGACCTTTCATCTCTCACAGAAAGCACAGACTGTTTGGAGGTAGGAGTCATCTAATTGGATTATTGGTTATTGGTGTGTTTTTGTGTTTATTGCCTTCTTAGAGTTCTTCAGAGCATGTGGGAGCTTCTCCTGCAGATGATTCTGGACTCAATCACAGAGAACAGGGGTGTTCAAGTGGAGTTTTACAACCGCTTCCAGTACACAGTGGAGGTGAGTAAACAGATTATTAGAATTTTAGAATGCATGTAAACTGGTTCATCCAGCCAGATTGGTACAAAAGCTACTTGCACGGTTGGGGTTTGAATCACTACTCATATGTCCCCATAACTTCGTAAAAATGCGCACATTTACTTTGGTCTATACAGCTTGACTCACAATTGTCTATAAAGACTCATCTCCCGTGTAAAGAATGCCATCACTACTGTTACTATCCCTCTTAATTATCTGTTTTCTGACTGCGACGCAGAATTTAGCATATGTCAGGTATTCATGAAGTCATTTGGTGGGAATTCAGTGTCAACACGAGTTGCTTTGTGAATGGCAATGCGGGAACTGCTGTGTATTCCTTGCTGATTCAACAGTCTGGCAGGGGACATAACATATTTGCATGAGAAGTCTGTCTTCTGCAAAAGTAGGCTGCATTTGGAATTTGGCAGAAAGATACGTTTGCCTGCTTCGAGGTTTCATGCTGTTTCTGTGAACAACAAGTCTCTCCTCTAAACTGAGATTTCTATCTATCAAAATGAAAGGGCCATTGCTTTTGTTAATCGGTAGGCATGATCCAAAGATGGGGATGTAAGAGTTCAGGTTTGTAAAAGGCAAGGAATTTTATTTACTTTAGAGGTGATCGATCTGGTGATTGTTAACAGTCTCTAGTCTTTGTAAAGGACTGGACATAAACATAAACCATGAAAGCTCAGAAGAACTAGATCCTACTGCAAAACAAATAATCTGGCAAGCAGACTGGTGCTTATAAACTGGAATCATCCACCAGTGGTATTTAATGAGTGCCATCAGGAACCAGCAGTGACCACACCCATGAGGCACAGGAACCACATGGAAAAATACACTTGAAAACACAGATCTCAACAAGTATGTGTGATGGGGAGTTTCTATTTTGTTTTTTGCTTTAATGCTTCAGTCCCTGTTGCAATTCTTCCACATGAGGGGAGAGGGTCTCTCACTGGAAGATATGAAATGTGGAGATTATAAGGTAAGGAGTTTTGTAAACTGTCCTCCAATTCTTTTGATGTATGAGTGCCCGGTCAGATTTGTCTCCCCCCTTTATCCACTCTGTGATGTATCTTTCCCTGTCGGCTGACTGGATTGTTTAGGTGCTGGATGAAGAACTCAGACTGAATAAATGTTCTTCCTTTGAGCTGATTGAACAGTATTATCTGGAGAAGATTTCCCACCAGGTGTGTTTGATCTTACCAGGCAGACAATCTCATCTAAGTGGACAGGGAGATATTGATTGAAAAGCGCATCTTTACATCTTCTGTTCTTTTACCCCTGAAAGGCTTCCTTTCTTTTGAGCCCTTGAGAATGTCATTCAATCAAGTTATGCAACAAAAAGATGGAATTTTCTGTAACTTTCTCACTAAAAAGGAGTCTCCTGTTATGTGAGCGTATTTTTCCCAGGTAAATCCAATCAAATGAAAGCGTCTTTGAATTATTGCAGAAAACACTCAAACACACCCGTTTTGGTCGGATCAGCGTGAAATGCTACTACGAGGCTCCAGAGCAGAGGCTGACAGTGGAGATCCTACATGCTGCAGATATTATCGCACTGGATGCAAATGGTAAAACCTGAATGAGTTGTGTGTGTGTGTGTGTATGGGGAGGGTTGTGGTAGCTTAACCCTGTAATGCCAAATGTATCATATTTGATACATACGGTTTCTGAGATGTTTTGCTTCTGACACCTTTTGCATAATTTAATAGTAAAAACTTTGCTCAAAATCCTATTGTACACAATCAGATATACCTGATAACAGGGGGCAGAAGACTACACAAAAAATAATCTTGACTTATTGCATAGTTATAGATTATTAATATAAAAAATGTATTTCCGTTTTTTCTTTTTACATATTTTGTTAAAAGGCCAAATAAGGAATTCAAACAAAAAAATAATAATTTTCTGTTTTGTTTTATTCTTGGATCGGGCTTTAAAAGGTTAAAGGTAATGGTCCCTATATTTGGCCTCCACAGGTCTGAGTGACCCCTTTGTCATAGTGGAGCTCTGTCCACACCACCTCTTTCCACTGGCCAAGAGTCAACGCACGCAGGTGAAGCTGAAGACATTGCACCCAGTGTTCGATGAACTCTTTTATTTGTGAGTAGGATCTCCTCTTTGTTTCTCGCTGCCTGCACCTAATGTGCCTGGTGTTTACCGATTTGAATCTGTTCCTTCCGTTCTGCTCTCCCAGCCACGTCAGTCCTGAGCAGTACAGACACAGGTATGCCTGCTTGACCTTCACTGTGATGGACTACGACTGGCTGTCCACCAACGACTTTGCTGGAGAAGCCGTCGCCCCTCTGAGCGACTTCTGCTGGCCCGGGAGACCCAACGCCTCTGCGGCCGGCAAGAGCGTCCAGCCGGTCATCCTTCACCTGTCTCGCAGTAAACCCAGCGGTACATAAAACCGTAGCACGTTTGTTTGTTTGTTCTTTTACACAGGGGACGATATTGGCTCTTGGCTTATCAGACCAGGTTAGGAGATGTAGGTCTGGATTTCCAATTACTTGTCCATTACAACATAGAAGAGCCTTCAATCCAGACATGCTTGTGTCAGGTGCAGAAAGTGTTCTCATCTGTTTGCTCTCCCCCTCACACAGAGAAGCCAATCATGAGGATACTGGACGCTCGTACCGGAGACAGGGAGGCTCAGGAGTTTGTCCGCAGGCTCAAGGAGATTGAAAAGTCGATGGAGGAAGAGTAAAAGCTTTCAGTATTGGCTGTTTTGTGCTTTCAGATCACGTCTTGCGACATGTGCTTTTGTAATAGTACAATGTTTACAATATCTACAATTTTTCTCCGATGTATTGTTTGTTCAGTAATTACACCAAAACGAACGTAAAAAAAAAAGGAAGATGGAAGTGTTACACTGTCTTCAAACTGAACAGCTGTCACTGTGCAACCATATGCTGTCTGAGTTTAATGGCATTTTAGACTTTAATGGATAGTTGATCCTAAATGTTATTAGTCTCTATTTTTTGTAATGAAGTAATTGTTATCTTTGTTGTATAATCTTTGATATGATAGATTTAACTTTAAAGAAGATATTTTGTGGAAGTAGCTAACAGGTAGTCTATAGTCATCAGTCTACAGTCTAACTCTATACCTCAGATATGCTCATTAGTTGAAGGAGAGTTTCACATGTTGAGACCGATCATTCCTCAAAGACACTGTTGTTGTAACTTGCATGATAGCTTGTTCGGGATTTGAATGCCTGAACCCACGTTTGTTTCCCAGTTTTTGCAATGGCGTGCCAGGGAAACGGCTATGAATAAGAACAGACTCATTTTGGAGGAAATTAAGAAATGGAAATCATATGTGCACAGCACAGCTCTGGGGAGCCCCGGGCTTGTAGTTTTAAGGCCAGTCAGACTGATCAGGAAGCCAAACACTCCATGGAGGCTCACCCTGCTGGTGAGTTCATCCAGATAGTCATTAAATATCCCAAAAATGGTGTTATGTTTGTGGTTGGAAGAGCAATTATTTTAACTAACTCCCTTTTTGTGTGAGCACAGCATCAGTGACTCAGCTGAGAGTTGATGTTTAAAGCAAATGTTTGTTATTTTTTTACTTATAAATACAGTCCATGCAAAATATGTTCAACGAGAGAACATATATATTCTTTTATCTCTATCAGTTCAGCTTGAGTTGATATCACCAGCGTGGCCTGGGCAGGTTTTTGACTTTCGTTTCTTAACTCTCATTTAGAAATGTTTAAAACCAAAATAGTTTAATTAGTGCTTTAGTTTGTTGGCATATATAGCCAACATACTTGCACAGAGCAGAGCCAAAATGCAAGAGATTAAAAGGTGTGCTAAATGTAGGAAAAAAAAGTTTAAGCATAAATTTCTTTAAAAATTCAAATGAACTAAAACCAGTTTTCCTGTAAAAAACTATTTTGGATCTCTAACCCTTTGTATACTCGTAAAATCCTGATTACAAAAGTTTAGTAAGAGGTTAAATTCGTCCTAAATGTGTGTCCAGGTGGTGGAGCTTCCAAGATAGTTTTTTAGGGGAAACCAAGATAATTGCTGTTGATGATGAGGCATTCAAACAGCTGTGGGAACAAAAAGGGTTTTATTTCATGTCTAATTCTCTAAGGATGAAAATCTAAATCTGTGTGAGAAGAGAAAAAAAGAATGAAACTGTGGAGGATACCTGAATGGATGTCTTTGTCTGAAACAGCTCTCACCGGCCTTTTAAACTGTTGAGTTACAGAGAGCTAGGGATCAGGATGTTTTTGCAAAAACAGGTGAGGGTCAAACCACCCCTCGAATCCAACCCCATTTCTCTTGTAATAGAAAGAAAATTACTCTTACATTCTTATGCAATTTAAAGTTTTCTGAAAGAAAATCAAGCACAAATTATCCATATGATTTGACACTCAGTAAGTCCAAAGGGTCAGTTTCCTGGAACATGTTCTATGTATGAACTTGAATCTAATATGGTTCAATATGTTTGAAAAAATAAAAACAACCTCTGAAATTAATGCAATTTTTAGATTTTCGAAGAAGTTCAGCATTGATAAAATTAACGTTAACATTTTGCTGAAAATAAACTTTTTTTGGGTCAAAACTTTACAAAGTTAAGGTCCGTTAGTAGATTGTAGCATTCCAGGAAACCGGCCCTTAACATTGAAAATGTTTACAATTGGGTCTAGGTTGGACGTTCAGGTTGGAAAACACTCCTCCATCCTAAACAGAAATCCCCAATAAACAAATCACATGGATGCGATTAAACTTTTGCTGGTGTATGAAGAAATATTCCGATAACACAGTCAAGCTTTTAGGAATTGTCGATGTGTGTAAAAGCTCAGTTTTTTCTGAATAAAACCTTAGTTGTAGACTAGATGACTTAAACTCAAAGTGGCGAACCAGAACTGAAAAAACACTGTAGCAGGTAGCGAGCACCAAAACCTCCGTACCGACAGCATTTCGATAGGGATGTACGTTTACAGTAGCTGCTTGTGTTGTGCTTTGTCTTTACCTTTCAGAGCTTTGAGAATAAGGCAAGCAAAAACTATACCTATGCCTGGAAGTTGTGCTGCATCAAAGGGACTGTTCAGGTGTGAAAGAAATCCTGTATTTTTGCTTATTTTTGAGACATTTCAGGTGGAGTTTGGATTGGCGTTTGGTTAGTTTCATCACAGGCACGTTGAGCGTTGATGAACTGACGATGAGTTTGTCAGATGAGTCTGACATTTCTTCTACGTTACAGCAGCTCCATTTATTTGACCAAAAAAACATTTTTTGAGAAGAAAAAAAAAGAGCACATGAAAAACATTAGAAAGCATCACTTTATCAGCTGTTAGAATTTATTTGTTGCATCAAGGATTGTTTCACTCTAATTTAAACTGCCAAATTCCATGTTTTTTGGTTTTGATCCTTACTACTCAGTACATAGTCAGAGCCAATCAGTGATGCCGAGCAGTCTTAATGTGTTATTACAACAGTGGATTCATAAGTTTGACCTGGCGATTTGTGAGAAAATTTTTATTTCTGGGGAATATTTTTGACTCTTGAGTGGAGAAATTCTTGTGCCCTGTAGTAATTGCAGTAGTACTGTAAAATCATGTGAAAAAGAGAAGAATCTGCCCCATGTTATCATAAGACAGGATTTAAGTGTGGTATTTCAATGGTGAATAGTGTTGGAGTAATATTTCTTATGTATAACTTTAAAACCAGTAATTATGGCCTAATTTTTATTAAACAAAAAAACTAATTTAGAAAAAAACTATTATATTCTCAAATTAAGCTAAATATACTACATGGATTTAAATCTATATTCAGATTACAATGCCGCTGTGGTTTTCGTCTTTGTGGCAGTATTGTGGGCTGAATGAAATGTAACTGGGGGAATTAAAAATTTTGTAGTTTTAGTAACATGAGTTTTTCTATCGTCAAAGATCTGTGCATTGTACTGAGTCACAGTACATTCGATGTCTTTATACAGCCCTTTGACAGATCATATGTTCTGCATTAGGTAAGAACATCGATTTATCCCTGGCCACTTTTCAAATCATTCAGCATATTTCTGGCCAGCATGGGAAAAAGTTCATCGCCACAGAATCCAGGTAATGAGTCAAAGACGATGAAACTGTGAAGTAACAGAAACCCATCATGCCTTAGCTTTGCAGCCGTCCGTCCTGACATCATTTTTGTTGAGCATGCACAAATTGGAACTGTTGCTTACCTTTTGAACAGTGCATAAATTGAATAATCGGGTCGAGGTCTGCCATTCAGATTTTAGGGCAACGGCTGGTGAAATGTATCTGCGGGACGTGGATTACCTTCAAGTTGTTATTGTAACAGTGAATTATTTGTGCTTGAATGGTAAATGCCTGTGTTGCTGTTTATTGAATCGCACATTTGGGAACTGTCCGTGTCCCCAATAAAGATTTCAATTTCCTTGTGGTACTGTTATTGACAAGAACGGATGCTTTTAATGTATCACGCTGACAGCAATTATAGTTTAAACCTTCTCTGACATACCTGCACATGCTGTAACTCAGCAGGTTGGTTTTAGTAGAGAGAAATTCCCCAGGTTGACACTGACCTTTTTGCTCAGTCCTCCACAACAACAATCTCTCACCTTCCCTCACCCTCCTCCTCCTCACAGTGCTGTCTTCTTGGCTATCTTTGACCTTTTAATGCTTTACCTCCCATGTGCAGCAGCTGGCCAGGGATCACACACACACACTCTGTGACCCAGCGGCATTTCTGCAAAAAAAAAGACGCATGAAAACACTAAGAAAGATTACGTCCATTCATTAGGTGCACTGAGAGATAAGAGAGTCACAGGACTTTTGACACAATCAATCTTTCAAAGGATCGCCGCGATAGAGGATTTGACAAGGATTTCTTATGGCTGGAAGACAAGACCGCCTTTGCTAAATGAAAGTCGATATGTTTTGAATTAGACACCTGGTGACGACGGAAGGGTTTTCAATTGCGTGCTGGCTCAGGTGTGGAGAGGGCCTTATCATCTCCTGCAGACCGGCGGCCATCACTGCCCCTGTTGTTGCACCCAACAGCCCTGAACTGTTTCTGTGAAGGCTGGAACCTTCTGCAGTTTAGTGATCATCTTGCTACAGGCTCTTTACAACCTTTACACGTTGTTTACCTGATAGCATGCATTTTGTTGACTAAGAATAGCAGGAGTCCCATTTCACCCACTAGATGTCATCATAATTTTACGAATCATTTCCTCAGTCTGAATCATACTAATGAACACGGAGTCATTTGAGTATTTACAACACAATAAAAAAAATTAAGGATGTTTCCTGTTGTGCTCTTAAGGCTCATCTGATTCATCCCAGGACACAATGCGTGTAATTGAAGAGAGCTATTGAAAAATCAGATCACGTTTCACAATAGTGGGCGCACTCATTGCTCTGAGACAAATATAATGTGCTGTCTAATATTGTACTTTTGTAAATCCTAGATATGCGCTGGATTTATTTTTCAAGGATTGTTGAGATATCAAAACATCTTAATCAAAATTCTCGACTTTTGAAAATTAAAAAGTACCAAAGCAGAAGGATATCGGACTGTTGTATTTCATAATTAATTAGAAATAATTTTCAGACAATGAGGTATTCTTCACATCTGATGCTCTCATTGAAAATCTACCACTGTTAGTTAGAAACCTGCAAATAGCTCGAGTTGCTTGTCTTCGTTATAAATGAATTCTGACAAAGTTGTTTTAAATTGTTTTCTAAAACGACCACTTCATCGCTTTCATTTCTCTGATAAAATTCCCACTCTGATAAACCACACAGTTTTACGATCAAAGAAATGCTTCGCTTCTGGTTTGCGGAGAAAACACTGAGTTCCATTATTAAGTTCTCCTTAGGTTCTGATAGGGAGGTGGGATTCTTTAGCTGCTGTTGATCCCCAGGAATGTTGGCAGAGCCCCTGCATTGCTTCTGCTCCTCCGCTGCTGGCCTTGGCAGACACGTTTAACAGCACACTGATCCGGCAATGTCTTATCTCCCCTCAAACAAGCCTAATCCTCCACAAAGAAATTTTACACCTCACACCTCCTCCCCCTTTAGCGGCCCGACCCGGATCCCACCCCACTGCAAAAGCAGACCTAAGATTTACCACCTGCAGAACACTGGTTAAGAAGAAAGAACTGCTTGCATGTATTACCATAACTGTCTGCAATTCAGAGACAACGAAAGGTATGAATAGTGATGCGTCTCCAAAGTCTTCCTTTGAGATTTTAGGAGAAACACGACTCCATCAAACCCTGCGCATAATAAATATCTGCTGTTGGCAGGACCTGAGAAGTTTCCTTTAAAGAAAGTTTCCCTGCGGTCTAAGCGTATAAGCACCTGTGGCTGCAGGTGCAGCCTTTGCTGCGGGGTCAGCAGAATCGACACTTCTGAAGTCAGCCACTCCTCTCCTTCATATGTGATGTGGGAGGAGGCCAACACAACAAATCCTTTGTGATTTCGGACAGCTCCGTCAGACTGAGCAGAGATAGTACTGGACAGCTTGTTCACGAGGAATGCAAAGTGGACAGGTTTTGGACCGTAGCCAGTGATTTACTGGCCTTTAAACTGTATTAAATGCAGACTCATCTCTTTCATACAGAGCTGTGTTGACTGATAATAACAACTAAATCCCTCCATCAAAGTGGACACATGGACTTTGACACATTCTAATCAGGTCTGCCCCACTGTAAAACCATTTTGTGTTTCAGGGATTTATCCTTAATCAGAGGTCTAGCATCCAAACTGCATTTAAAAAAAGAAAAATAATTCTGGATTTATTTTGTTAACAGATCAGACAAATAAAAAAATATTAAGTTTGTAGATTATAAATTAAAACAACAGAGGAAAATGTAGTTTCTTTTCAGGGTAGGACTGCTGACCTCTGCAAAAGCCAACTCCTCATCTATGTGTATCTATGCATTACATAAACCTATTCGACATGTATATATATAATATATATAATGTGGACAACATTATATTTTTAGATGTGCTTAGAAATAAACATTTGTTTTATCCTCAGACAATGTGAAAAACCCAACTTGTTTATATATCCACAGATGTTTCTTTTTTGTTCGAATCTAATGTTGTCTTGCCATTCATCTACTGTCAGGTCACATGAAATGCCTCCTGGACTTCCCTGCATTCTTCCCCAAAGGAGTGTCAGTTTTGTAAAGAACAAGCTAATCAAACAGACTCCCATCCTCCCCGGCTGCTTTCCTGCTGGTGTTCTCTCAGAATTCGGCCCGCAGCTTTCGCTCCATCTTTCAGCTCATGCTTTTGTTCAAATGTCTCTGCTGTGCTCACACGCCGATTGTGCTGCTCAGTTAAAAAGAGCTCTGTGTAATTAGCTCTGACAGCTGTACAAAATATATACAGTAAAATGTCTAATGCGTCAGTACATGCAGAGCAGTATGGCCATTTTCAATCTGAGATAAATAAGACCTCCGACATGGACAGCATCTGATTTCCTTCCAGCCATTGTTATTTACAACAATCGCCCAGAGGAGGTCATGTCATCCCTTTAAAAACCGTCCTTGGGCACCTTGTTTTTTAAGTGATTCTTTGTGGAAAGAAATGATGTCTGAGGGGGTTTCAGAAAGGTTGACTCCAAAACAACAGGCTGTCTACTACATTGTCTGAGGAGGATGTTCGTCTTGGAGACTTAAATAAAAACAGTTCTTTCTCCACATATAATTCTGGGAAGAAGTCATTATTGTGGCAGCACGTGTCCACAGGCATCCCCATTTGATCCACCCAGCACAGCACACACACAAACAAGCTGTTTTTCCAAAGAATTTAGACATTTCCAAAGCAGGGTGTTCTCACTCAAAGATCACAAACAAATTTCAAAAGTGCAGAAAAAAAAAACTGGCTCGAGTTCATGTTAGCTTTATTTAATACTGATGACACCCGGTGCCTTCAGTGGAATGTGTCTTGTACATGCAGACTTTTTTAAATGATCAGGAGGTCGATGGGGAGCATTTAACATAATCCATCAGCTCCCTGGAAATTATTTTTCTTATGATATGGGAAGCATGCTAAGCACATGTGATTCTCTGTTGACAGTCACTGAATGTGTTCATAGGAAGCCTCCATATTCCCTTTTTTTTTATTTTGTACTTTACAGAATTACAGCAACAGAACGTGCTATGCCAAACACATTTGCTTTGCCAAGGGAGAACCCCCCCACCCCATTGA